TACAAAAAAAAAAAAAAAAAAAAAAACACAGAAAGAGGTCTCTACACATCTGGCCTCATCTCTTTCTTCCCCTCTGTGAATTAGGTTTTCTGTCTCTTTATTTTTTTTTGGCGTAATCTAGGTATGTCAAGTTTTCGCTCCCAATCATATTCAAATTGTTTCTTGTTATGAGACAATTTGACTAACTTGCTGAATGGTGTTTCAAATTATATCAAAGTTATGTAGGTGTTAAATCAAAGATGGTGAAGCTGATAATGATTGCCTATGTTCTGACGGTCTTCCTCATGCTGATGGACTAGATGATGGTCGTGATTTGAGAGATGCTGAGCAGCAACCAAAGCGTTGTTTAAGAAATTATCAAGAGGACAAAATGAGCCTTCGAGGATGTCTATTGAAACTGGCTCTTATGTCCTTCAGTATCCTCGCATCACGCAAGTTTGCATTCCATGCGCAATGAAATCACATAAGTTATATTCTTGTCATGCATCATTAGGCCACCATTTAGGCAATACCAAGATCATAGTCTAAAGCAGATTGTGGACTTGACCATTAGGCCACCATTTAGGCAATACCAAGATCATAGTCTAAAGCAGATTGTGGACTTGACACCAAACCATAATGTATGGTTGGAACTGAAACATTCTTGAACTATTGCAGTTGGTTCCATTTCTTCCCATATTTATTGGCAGTGTTCATACTATTGTCTTAGAAGTGTCTGGATTTTATGTTTGCTTGACAGCATTCAGTTATATAATTGAAGGGCGTGTTTGCTAATTGACAATTTGTGACCATGCTTACCCAAAAAAACTTGCTTTCCAGTACCTTGAAGACCTGAAGAATGAATTTGAGCGTGTTAATAGGGTTCAAATTGAAACAGCTGCTAGACCCAGAATCTACTCATTTGCCTCCTTTTTATGAATTGGTTATGGAAGAATTAATCTTGCCACATCTCTGGAAAGCAACAGAATTGATTTGTGGTGCGATTGATAAATGATAACGGGCCTTAATGTTTGGACTACACATCTGTTTTGTTTGGCCCATACTTGCACTGCTCTATTTGATAACGAGGAATAGCACACTGATCTGTCTGATAATGAGGAATAGCTGGCCTCCACATTGGGATCATCAACAAAGTTGTCAACATTAGAATATTAGCCACATCACCCATCGGCATCGAACGTTACTATCGGTACTGATTATGAATTTAAGATAAACCAGAGTAGATAGGAGGTACCGACAAGTTTACAATGCATCGGTTTAAATTATTTGATAGATATTTTCTATGCTACACGCATTCATTAGCAAAATTTCTGTCGTCAACAACTTGAACTTCTTGACCCATTCTCCACTGAAGGCTGCACCTTCGAGCTTGGGTCAAAATTACAACATCAAGGTAAAATCTGATTCCAGTCTTTTAAATTGTTTGCGGCAATCATCATATTTTTCTGTTTTCCATGAAAGTGACGAAGTGTTATTCCTTAGATTCCATCTTTAAGCTTTACTTTCTGCTGATCTACTGCTTTCTTATGTAAGTTTTCGTTAAGATTACTGAGAAAAAAGGATCGTGGGACATCTTGCTTTTCCCTGGTTGTGATGCCTTTGTAATGTTTATTGCTTCAGTTGTACTTGTCAAGAAAGTCACCCTCTAAGCTAATTATAAATTAATATTTCTGTGTGTGTGTACTGCTAATGTGTCATGTTCCACACATGAAGTTTGGCTAACCAGTATGTTGGTACTGTATGTTCCAGTGGGGAAACGGGGAAGCTTCGCATCTCCCCCTCCTCAATAAGTAGATTAAATCGTAGTAGAGAAAATAAAGTTGCATTATCATATAAGATATTCCTTCCATTTTTTTTAGTTTTTGTTCCAAAAGAAGATTAAAGAACACAATTCAATGGTCGAACTTTTGGGCAAGACCTTCCCATATTCTTCAACTGTTCGAACAACATATTGATGCATCTTCAGTCCTTACTAGAGGATTACAGACCAAATCTTAAATCAACCATCGTCGCTATGCCTTTTGTTCTGATTCACTTTACTCTTGCTTGTTTACTGGGTGTTGTGGGGAACTCGCTCTTGTCTCGTTTATTTGGATGCATCATCCTAAAGTCATGGTACCATAAGTCTCTTATTATAAATTTTAAGCGAGTTGAGACTCTAATTTCAATCTACTGTGCCTCAAGACCTTTCATGGCTACTGGTTCTTTGGGTGGCATCTGTTACTCTTTTCCTAACAAATATAAGTATCAATCACTCAAGGATGTTCTGGTCTCTTTTTTGTCAGGACAAAATGTCTTCTGAACCAGTGAACGTGAATGACTTCAAAGAATTGGCTAGGTTGAAACTTCCAAAAATGTACTATGATTTCTACGCAGGAGGGGCTGAGGACGAACACACACTCAGAGAGAACATACAAGCTTTCTGTAGAATCATGTAATTTTGAAGCTAACTAACGATTGCTTTGAAAAAGTCATGCTATAAGTTATTCATGGTTTCTATGGTTTTCAGGATTCAACCTCGAGTTCTCGTGGACGTGAGCCAAATTGATATGTCAACAACCATATTGGGCCATCGCATCTCCGCACCCATCCTGGTTGCCCCCACTGCTGCACATAAGTTGGCATTCCATGAAGGTAAACCTCTTGGTATATTGCTTAGTTGAGAATTGATTTTCATTCTACTTTTTCTTGATGATATCTTTGATCTTTCAGGAGAACAAGCCACGGCCAGGGCAGCTGCTGCTGCAAAAACTATAATGGTACTAATGTGACTACAAGCTATAAGTTATTTTACTTGCTGAATTTGCTAATTGAGTTAAGTTGCTTTTGTTTGTAGATTCTGTCTTACTCTTCGACCTGTTCAATAGAGGAAGTTGCCTCTAGTTGCAATGCTGTCCGTTTCTTTCAATTATATGTAAATGACGCTTCTTTTGCACATTTTTCTATCCCTTTTTCAATTCTTTCCTATAGCAGCAGTCCAGTTATTCGCAAGTCTTAATCTTAGTTTTTTTATTCTGTAATCACCAGATTTTCAAACGGCGCGATATCTCGGCTCTGCTAGTTCAGAGAGCTGAGAGATTTGGATACAAGGCAATTGTTCTGACTGCCGATACTCCTCGACTTGGTAGAAGGGAGGCTGACATAAAGAACAAGTAGCAATATTTCATTTCAGTTTTTTTCCATAGAACCTTCTTAATACCTTTATCTTGCATCCCAATTGTAAGCTATGCCTTGGTTTTTGTCTCATCTGGAAAAACACTTCGTTAAATTTGTAGGATGATTGCACCACCAGTGAAGAATCTTGAAGGCCTCATATCTATTGACGTTAACTCTGTGAGTATTATTCTGATAAAATCCGGTTTAGAATATTTGAATTACCACTTACAAATACAATGGAGGAATTTTTGAATCTTGCTTGATCAGTAATCTGGGATGTGCATACATCCAGGTTTCCTTTTACTTTCCCTCAAGCATACTTCCATGTATCTTAATTCATATCAAATTATAAAACCTCATTTCTATGCCCTAGGCTTACTTGCGACTCATGATCTTATGTAGGATCAAGGTTCAAAGTTAGAAACTTATGCCAACGAGATGTTGGATGCATCTCTCCGCTGGGAAGTATGTCCAATAATCTGCTCAGATTCTTTGTATGTCTATTTTCTTTCCAGTTTAGTTATAAAATTTTACCATCTACAGGATATAAGCTGGTTAAGATCAATCACTAGTCTGCCAATTCTGATAAAGGGGATTCTCACTCATGAAGATGGTAAGGTTCAGTTATGTCTTAACGATATTAGAATCAAGAAATGAGCCTTCTTTTTATCTCCTGGGTTTATGAGTTGTGTTACTGTCAATTGATTAGTTCTCGAACATGTTTGATGAATGGCAGCAACTAAAGCTGTGGAAGCTGGTGTAGATGGAATTATTGTCTCCAATCATGGAGCCCGCCAACTAGACTTTGCTCCTGCCACTATTTCTGTCCTTGAAGAGGTAAGTTTCGTTGTGTACTACAATATTAGAATTAATTTCACATGACTTGAACTAGATTAGAATGAGAGTCAAGCTTATCAGATATCAAGTGTAGTTGAAAAGTAATATCCATCATCTATACGGTTGCTTTACTTATAACTGTAATAATCTTTCATCAGTTGGGTTTTTTAACAGGAAGTTTGATGCAGGTTGTTCATGCTGTCAAGGGTAAAATTCCTGTGCTCTTAGATGGAGGTGTGCGGCGGGGTACAGATGTGTTTAAGGCATTGGCCCTCGGGGCCCAGGCAGTCCTTGTAAGTTCTATACCACCAACTAAAACATTACATATTTTTTGGTTAAATCCCTAAACTTTAAGATTTGTATCTGATTAATCCATGAACTTGTATATGTATGATAAAGTTCTTGATGTATTCAACATTGTTGTAAAATTCACGAACGTACTATTAAACACGAACTTAAAAATTTAAGGCTCATTCGAACATAACATTCAATTTTTATATTTATTAGATAAGTTAATCTTTATTAATTTGAATATATTAGGGACATGTTAAATACTTAATTGAAAGTTGGGACCTATTTGACATTTTTTTTAAAGTTGAAGAACATATTAGACATAGAATTAAAATTTGGGTGATCTATTAGATACTTTTTAAGTTAGAGACTGTATTTTATCTGTAGTTTCATTCCAAGTTACAACAGGATTACACTTGTATTCACACATAAAAGGTCTCCAATGTTAGATCTGTGCTAAATGATGTTGGATAAAATCCTGGGGTTCTTGGTTTCAACTTATAATTGAATTATGTTTCTTGTTTCTTGTCTTTGATTACGGGCATGGCTCTCCCCTCTCATGTTAGAAATGGTTGTGATTTGATTCAGATAGGGAGACCAGTTTTATTTGGACTGGCAGCAAAGGGAGAAGGAGGAGTAAGAACAGTGCTGGAGATGCTGAAGAATGAGTTAGAGATTAGTATGGCACTTTCTGGGTGCCCATGCATCAAGGACATTACTAGAAGCCATGTTAGGACACCTTACGATAAGCTGCCTTCAATGCTTTAGTGCCTCTGTATACCATTTATATATATAATTTAAGCATAGCTGAGTTAGTCTTACAAATAAGAGGAAGCTGGGAACTCTACAAAAAAAAAAA